CGCCGGAGGCGGGCGGCCGGGCCTTCAGAGCCCTTTCCGAGAGCACGTTTGCTGTCATGTCTGACGCCTGGCTTTTCCTATTGTGGCCGACGGGTCGCTGTCTCCGATCCCCACAGATTTTTCTCTCTCCGAGTTGGATGGTAGCTCTTTAGAGGGGGGTGACCTCAGTGAAAGGATCTTTAGTTTCTTTGAGTCATTGGCTTTGGCTACATGAACCTTGGAGCTCACATTTGTCTGTAGGATGCAGTTGACTGTTCAGACCTTTTAAATAACAGGTGCCTTTGAGACCCCGGTCCAAGCTCTGGGTCCCGTCCCTGTACGTTTGCATAAGTGGCAGCGACAGGCATGCAGTGACAGGGCTTGGGGAGGTTCTCAGCCCAGCCACAAACCTCCGGGGTGTGAACCCCGAGTTAAGAGCTGGTTTGGAGGGGGAGGCACAGGCTTTGGGGTCAGACTTTGCATATGGCTCCACCACTTACCATTGTTAACTTGGGTGAGTTACCTGAGCGATTTTACTAAGTTTTTTTTTACTAGTTAAAGTGGGACTAACCAACCTGCAGGATTGTGGAGATGGAATGAAAGCAGCAGCTAGTTAAGGCACTTAGCACATTGTAGGCACCCAGCTGAGTGACAGCTGACAGAGGTCTATTATTATCCCAGGAAATGTCATTGAAAACCTGAAAGGAAATTTTAATGTCATTATTATAAGAGGGCCACCACATAGATTTTGCTCAGGCGTCTAATACAGTAAGTTGGTTTGATTTTAACGCAGCCCTGCCCTTAACCTGCAGCGGTTTTATAGGCTCATGGTCTGTCTTTTTGTAGGAACTTGGCTGTGTTGTCCTGCCTCAGAGAAGAAACTCCTCTTGCAGGCCTTGCCTGGGTTGCAGCCTTTGAGAACAAGGGAAGGTCGGCACAATATCAACCGCAACACAGCATGGGATTTCCGGAGAGGTCTTATTTCGAGACTTTATAAAGAACAAGAACCACATGGACTTCTGCATGGGAAATTGAACTGGCCTGAGGCTGAGGGGAAGGATGATGTGTGCCCAACCTGTACCTAACACCACGGAGATCAGGTGGCAGAAAGTCTTATATGAGCGACAGCCCTTTCCCGATAACTACGTGGACCAGCGGTTCCTGGAAGAGCTCCGGAAGAACATCCATGCCCGGAAATACCAGTATTGGGCTGTGGTATTTGAATCCAGCGTGGTGATACAGCAGCTGTGCAGCGTCTGCGTTTTTGGGGTCATCTGGTGGTATATGGACGAGGGTCTTCTGGCCCCGCACTGGCTTTTAGGGACTGGCCTGGCTTTGTCACTGACTGGCTATGTTTTGTTCGATCTCCTTGATGGAGGTGAAGGACGGAGGAAGAGTGGGCGGACCCGGTGGGCTGACCTCAAGAGCGCCCTGGTCTTTATTACTTTCACGTACGGTTTCTCGCCCGTGCTGAAGACCCTGACAGAGTCTGTCAGCACGGACACCATCTACGCCATGTCAGTCTTTATGCTCTTAGGCCACCTAATCTTCTTCGACTATGGTGCCAATGCTGCCATTGTGTCCAGCACCCTGTCCTTGAATATGGCCATCTTTGCTTCTGTCTGCCTGGCCTCACGCCTGCCCCGGACCCTGCATGCCTTCATCATGGTGACATTTGCCATCCAGATTTTTGCCCTGTGGCCCATGTTACAGAAGAAACTGAAGGCATGTACTCCCCGCTGCTATGTGGGAGTCACATTGCTCTTTGCATTCTCAGCCTTGGGGGGCCTGTTGTCCATTAGTGCGGTGGGAGCCACCCTCTTTGCACTTCTGCTGGTGTCTATCTCCTGCCTCTGCCCTTTTTACCTCATTCGCTTACAGCTTTTTAAAGAAAACATTCATGGGCCTTGGGATGAGGCTGAGATCAAAGAAGACTTGTCCAGGTTCCTCAGCTAAGTGAGGGAACTCCGTTTTGTTATTCAGGCAAGCTGATAGACTAGCCTCCCAAGTAGGATCCAATCGAAGGCAGAGTTCCATTCTGGAAGCAGCAGGCTGATGTGGTGGGAGAACAGAGATCCAAAGAAGAAGTGAACCAAAGGCTTTGGTGGTGAAGGTGCTTGTCCTTTCTGTTGCTTGGTGGATGAAAAAGCTTTCTGGGGCCCTCGGGCATGGTTACCTCCCATGTCTTACTCACTATAACAAAGGAAGTGATGTGGTTTCTATTTATTAAAAACTAACAACATATCCAGCAAATTGTGTCTTGGTTTTTCTGTAAGCAGAAGGCAGATAGAAGGGGCATGAAAAGTGAAGAGATAATAAAAACGCACGATTGTGTGTTAATAAAGTCACTTCTCTACCCTTTTCAATGTACTAATTCAGGCTCCGTTATTTATCTAGAGCTCAGACCCTACAACTCTGGATGCCATGTCCAGTTTTGTTGCCTAACACTATAGAGTTGGTCTCTTAACCTTACTCAGAGTTTCTACTTGGTTCTTAGTGAAACATGTATGTGCCATAATATGCAGCAAAATGCTGGGGGAATCCAAAGAGGCTGGGAGTCAAATTGAGCCACAGTAGTAGGAAATATTTACTAGAAGAGATGACATTTGAAGTTAGTCTTGGAGGTTAGGTGTGATTGAAGTGGGCAAACTACGGCCCGCAGGCCGGATCCGGCCCGTTTGAAATGAATAAAACTGAAAAAAAAAAAGACCGTACCCTTTTATGTAATGATGTTTACTTTGAATTTATATTAGTTCACACAAACACTCCATCCATGCTTTTGTTCCGGCCCTCCGGTCCAGTTTAAGAACCCATTGTGGCCCTCGAGTCAAAAAGTTTGCCCACCCCTGGTCTAGGCCTAGGGTGACTCCTCCTTGCCCCAGCAGACCACCTAGTCAGAATTTGGGCCTGGTTTCAGATCTTTAGAATGCCAAACAAAATTCTAACTGAAATCTCAGTAGCTGTCAATGTGATTTTTAACCTGAAATATGACTTGTGGGTTCTGTAAAAAATCAGACTCCCAAAAACACTGCATGCAAAATGTGCCCACCACTGAAGCACATCTGTTCTTAGCAAGCACGAAGGTGGCAGTGTCAGATGGGAGTTCCACGTTATCGGCATTAGGAAGGTTGAGAACCACTGGTCTAGGGTGACCCCTCCTCTGCCCCAGCAGACCACCTAGTCAGAATTTGGGCCTGGTTTCAGATCTTTAGAATGCCAAATAAAATTCTAACTGAAATCTCAATAGCTGTCAATGTGATTCTTAACCTGAAATATGACTTACGGATTCTGTCACAAATTAGGCTCCCCAAAACACTGCATGCAGCACATCTGTTCTTAGCAAGCACAAAGGTGGCAGTGTCAGATGGGAGTTCCACTTTACGGGGAGGAAACATTGCAATGGGAGGCTTGAGTAACAATTAGGGGCCTGTGAATATTTGGGAGTTTGGGCTTTACCCTGAAAGTAATGAGCAGTCCAGCTGACCTGAGGGGGAGTAAGTGGTCAGATCATAGCCTAGTTACTTCACTGCACTGTGTTTCAATTTTTTCGTCTGGAAAGTGGGAATGAAAGTACCTCTAGAACTATGATGATTAAATGAGATAGTTGCAAAGTACTTTGAAGAATGCTGGACAAAGCACTGTGTAAATGTTAGATTATTACTGTTGTTACTAAGTTGATATGTAGGAGACTTGTGGGCAGAGACAAGACACACTACCCTGAAAGTAATGAGCAGTCCAGCTGACCTGAGGGGGAGTAAGTGGTCAGATCATAGGCTGGTTACTTCACTGCATTTTCATTTTTTTTGGTCTGGAAAGTGGGAATGAAAGTACCTCTAGAACTGTGATGATTAAATGAAATAGTTGCAAAGTACTTTGAAGAATGCTGGACACAGCACTGTGTAAGTGTTAGATTATTACTGTTGTTACTAAGTTGACATGTAGGAGACTTGTGGGCAGAGACAAGACACAGAATACATCAGGTGCCCCAGAATAGCTGGTCCCTCATGTAATCATTCCCCTGGGGGCAAGTTCCTGAATACTATTCCTTCTCTCTAGAAGTTAATTACAAATCAAATCTCATCAGGGCACCAGTGTTGCTAAGAAGTAATGTTTTTATTTCTCTGAACACAGACCTCTCAAAGATGTCTTGAGCATTGACTTTAATTTGGACTAATAACTAGAAAATCAAAATGAGAAGAATCAAAGGGAAAGGTGGCTGGCCTACGAAAACAGTCGGGACTAGCACGCTGGGCCTCAAGGAAGGCTCCAGGGAGATACGAAGTCACTGCCTAGAACAGTGCTAGCGGTACAAGCGAATGTGGGTTAGCTTCACAAATCTTGACATAGAGGAGCAGACCCCCTTTGAAGTTTGAGCAGGGCAAGTTTAAGACATAAAAACTTAATTCTACACACGTTCTCCATGTAACGCCTAGAAGTTTCACAGGCCAGGAATATAAATGGATTCCAAAAAGGTTTGGGGGAAAATGCAAATAAAAATGCAAATAGTGTTCTGTAAGAAAATGTTGAGAAATCCCAAGCTTTTGAGTGCTGCTACATGAAGGATGAAGAGGTTCAGGGACTGTAGCTGGGATGGAGGGATCAAGGACAGGTAGAACGACAGGGCGGCAGGTGTACTTTACTTGGGGGCATGATGGGGCTGACAGGTGATTGCCGTGTGCAGGGACCTGAGTGTAGCAACATGCACTGGTTCTGCATGGGGACCAAACTGGTGTCTGTGCTATGCCCGTATGCTATGTCAGTCCTGCAAACTTTTGAGTGAGCCTTTGGGCAGCTGGCTTAAGTTGTGGATTTAAGAATCCATGCTGAGCATATTTGAGGAAGCACACGGAGCCATCATTTGCACCTTCAAAGCCAAAGGCTCAAGGTCAAGAAAAACAAAAACAAGCCAGCAGAGGGCATCAGTCACACAGTTTTACAATATTTCAGACTGAATGCGGGAAAAGGGGCTGGGACGCAGTGCCATCTTGTGGAAGTTACTGATAGTCCCTTTTATAAAGAAATTTAATAGGAGCCTTGGGATTCTTGCTGAATTGTGCTTTGGGAACTAGCTGAGGTCCCCACAAATTCATGAAACAAATAGCACACTGGTATTTGATAAATTATAATAGCTACATTTCCGAGCACCCAGAGTGTACCAGGCACTGAGTTGGGCATTTTATATACATTGTCTTACCTATGTCTCTTAATCCTGCCATGCAAGTATTATTTTTACTTTAAAGTTGAGTAGACTGAGAATCCCCCCAACATCTAACAAAATCTTTACTGTCCACCAAGGCCTCTCTCTACTCACTTTCTACCATTCACATTTTATGATGTTTGGCCTCAGGAATTTATTCGGCAAATATTGAGCACTAAATATATGACATACTGTTTCATGTGCTTGTGATATATCTATGACTCAAAGGTCCTTGACCTAATAGAGCTTACATTCTAGCAGGAGAAGACACAGAATAGACATAAGAAGGTAATAAAAGCCATGGGGGAAAGTAATGGCATTAACTAAGGGGGCTAGGGTAGGTGTCATGGAAAAGGTAACATTTAAGCAACGACTTGAAATGTGTGAGGGAATAATCCAGATCCCAGGGGAAGAGTGTTCCAGGAAGAGGAAAGAGCTGATACAAAGGCCTGAGAGGTTAGCTTTTCCATCGTGTTACTTGTAGCTTCAAAAATATACTGTCTTAGCTGCCACCCACTTCCGTGACTTGTTACTGTCTTGAGGATTCCCGAGTCTCTCCGGCCCCTGGATTTGCTAAGGGTCCTTTACTCTGTGCTTGCTCATGGCTCCTGCTCACCAGGGGCTCTGAAGATGGGACCTGGGTCCGAAACTCAGGACCCAATACAACGTACTGTAAAATTTGATTAAAAACAATAGAAGTAGCAGTTTATATGCTTGACTCATTTAACCACCACCATCTTATCCGATATTAATATGTCGATAGTACTGCGATTCAACAGTAACTTGTAATATAAAAAAACAAAAAATGGGTGTATATGTGGGTAGAGGAGGTAGCTGGTGTGTCAGATAGAGGCTGTCATATTCTAAAGGGCTACGGAAGCATTTTTCTTTTTCAGCAACCTTCTCTTCCTGTGGGTGAGGTCCATGTTTTTAAAACAGATTCACAATTGTAAAGATTGACTTCAGAATCTCATGGAACTGCACTGAAGATTCCAGTATCCATTTTCTGAGTGGCTGGGTTTTTAAAAAAAATAAAAAACAGTTCTAAAACAGATGTTGGCCAGTACAACATTTTTTTCAAAGTCTAGGATGAAAAGGCTACAAGTACATCATACCCCAAAGCCACTGGAAGTGTCCGTATCTGCAAACGAACAACAGACGTTATTTCCTTATCTCCTCGTGGCTTTCAACTTGTAGGATGCTTGTTGAAACATCCCCGTCAGTTGTATCTGTGGTGCCCAAAGTTCATAGACATTTACTTACCAGTGAAACTCTGTAAGGAAAGGACTGGAAGTTTGATTTTTCCTTACCTTTAGTTCTCTTCTATCCATCTCTTAGATGTCTTGGGTTTTTCTGGCTGGAGCCTGGGGAGCTCTAACAACCATCACTGGTCCAGTGGAAGACTGCCACAGGTACCTTCGGAACCTAAAGCCTTTTTATTAGAAGCCAAAGCAAAGTTAAGGGACTACTTCAGTTTCAACACCACTGTGTCGTTTTCTCAACCAACACTTAAGTGATTTAGAGTCTTGTGTTATGCCATTCCATTAGAAATGCAAAGTTTGGTTTCTGATTGGCTGAAATTAGTTCTATTGTTCCTTTCTTTGTCAGCGGTCAAAGCCAGCATGTTCTAGAATGTTAGCTTGCAATGGGTCAAGTGGATAACCTGGTTCTAGAACTCAAACAGCTTGTTTTATGTTGTAAAACAAGTGACTTTACTCCTGTCACTGCTCCGGGGCTCCCAAAAACTAGTATATTATTATGAATTCAAGGCAGGTTTGATGCATAAATAAAGGGATGAGGGTATTTAAGAAGTGTTATTTTATTACAGGTACAGTGGTTCATTCCTTCTGATCATCCAAGTTATGGTCAACACAGAAGAATGCTGTGTTTTTTTAAACTCTCAAATGTTGAGTGAGGAGGTCAGGGCAGGGGACCTGGGTAGAGGCATATTATGAAACTTAGAAACACTACAAATAGAAAATACATATGGAAAAACCTTCCCATGTTTTAATTTTATTCCAGGCTGCTCCCTTCCACTTTTTTCCTAAGGTGAGGA